TTAGAGATATCTTGTCCTTTTTTATCTAATTAAATAATTAAATTTTGATAAAGGGTACTACAGTTTTTGATGAAACGTACACGAATTCAACTCGAAGTTTTTATTTTATTTTTCTTGTAATTGGAAGATTTGAAGTGAAATATGTTTGACGTGATGATTTAAAGAAGATATGGATAGTTGTGTCATCAGAGATTGATCGTGCAATATTATGGCGAAATTTTTCAAAGGTTCAGGATCGATTTTGCCCTTCGAATTGGGGACCAACTTGCTACTGAGGAAATAAGTTGGGGACCAGTGGTAAAATTCTGCATTATATTCTTTTGCCAATTTGTTATTGTAAATTCAGCCATTAATTTATATCAATAATTACAATTTATTTGTATCAACATTATTTTTAGAATTTACCATATCAACTTTATGAGTATTAATTAAAAGATGTATTAATTAATTGATAGTTAATAATTTAGTAATATATAAAGCGTATTTACAATTTAAAGAACGAATGTTTAATCAACTAAAAATTCGATGTATTTTACGTATCTAATCATTTGAATATGAATTAATACATTAAATTACATTAAATTAACTAAAATAAATAACTTTATTGTAGTATTTACTCAATAAAATAGTATTAATTGAAATTGCATTAATATAATTTAAATATTCAACGAATTAAATTAAAAATAATCTTTATATAAACAAACATAAAGTTTTCTTACATTTCATATTTACAATGGCTTCCGATCTAAAAAAATGTTCAAAAAATCAATCATGACATACGAGATTTGTAAAACATTATGCCAAATAGTAAAGAACATCCGTCATGAACTCAAAAAGAATTGCAGTAAAGGGTTTTTGAAAATTTTACTCGAAAGCTAGTCAAGGTACATTCAAGCGATCATCATAGAGGGTGTCTGCCACGGATTTTCAGCTGCTTTTCATCCATTTTTTGACCGTTGCAGCTGCAGTTTTGGACCAGTCGTCTCATAGCCGGGACCCACATGAAGGAAACTAACAGTCAAAAAATGGATTTCTTGAAGATTTTAAGCGCGGCCAAACACAGCCATAGTATATTTTGTTTGGCTTAGAAAATGTGTCTATTCTAAGCGGTATAAACCACCAAAAATTTCATATATGGAAACAATGTGATGAGTGGTTTCTTCAATACCAAGATCGTGTAAATACAATAGAAAAACTAATTTTGGATAAGGATAGAGGGATTATGAAAATATTAAACCTTGAACAGACTTTAGAATTCAACTTTTTTCAAGGCCGACTTGAAAAGTTCAAGTTAAGACATGGTATTAAGTCATTTCGTCATTTTGAAGAAAGTGGGTCAATCGATGCACAGACATAAGAGAAGAAATCGGAGTCCGTAAGTGAAAAATAGATCAATTCATCATGAAAAATGTTTTCAATATGTATTAAACACGATTGTTTTATAGACTATAACATGATCAGTCTCTTGCAACAAAGCAACTTGAAGGAAAAAAAATTAAGATATAGAAAAGCTTGTGATTGTTTCAAGCTTAGATGTGAAAATCAAGTTTCCGACGAAGCCGGTGATAATACAATAGCATTGGAGTCTATTACGCACAAGGAAACACTCAAAACATCATCCACACTTCGCAATTATTTTTTCATTTCAATTTGAAAATTCAATCCCATAGATGCTATATTTAATAAGCAAAATTAGAGATGAGATCCGATTTAATTTTCATGAAAAAATAAGTAATAAAATAGTCATATTTTAAATTTTTAATAAAACATCAAAGTCAACTACATGCAATTTTAGGGCTTGTTTGAGCACTATTCTTTGCGAAAATGCATTTTATAATAGTGTTATAATGGAAAATGTGTGGTTAAAAAAAGAAAAAAATTTGCATTTATGTGTAATATTATTTTATTGTAGAATATATGAGTGTAATGAGGTCAAATCACTGTTCAAAAATTCATTTTGAGAGAAAAAATGAACTCAAATAAGAGCTTAACAAGTTATTAATCTATGCTAGACGAGAATGTTCTCCTGCCCGCGGCGGGCAGTCTTATTCTGCCCACCTGCTGATGTGGCAGGAGAACACTACGAGGGGTTCTCTCCAAATGTAAGAAACACACGTAGGGTGGGCAGGATAAGAATACCCACTGAAAACTTGATAAAAAGAAGAANAGTGGGCGGGATAAGATTGCTCGCCGCGGGCAGGAGAACGGGACTGCTATGCGAGGAATGAGACCACAAAGTTAAGAGTTTTTAAAAAAATATTATCTTATTAATTTATTAAAACTCTTAATTTTGCCTATTAGCTCAAGTTAGGACCATAAAATTACTATATAATATAGGCCATTAATTTATCAAATATTAATTTATAGTGATTATCTGTACATTGTACAGTTCCATTTGTATTAGAATAGATTACTAGTTTCTTAATGCGACAAGACATCTGTATCTATACGACAAAATATTAATTCAATGATCAATAATAATTAGGATAGCTTCCTAATCAATCTTTGATGTTCACATATGAGTCACCTTCTTGTATGATCATGTTTAATGATAAGTATTACATCGAATTAAGATACACAAAAATAAATAATATACCCCTGTTTGGGGCAAAAAAATTTTGCCGTTGTAGAAACAATAAGAACGTTGGAGCAGTAAAATTCTAAAACCACGCTTCGTCCTACTGTACCAAATTTGACAATGCAAAATTCCATTTCTCCATTCTACTCTTCCAGCACTAAAGCAATCACTTTCCTATTTCTCCATTCTACCTCAGTTTCAGACACACAAGTGTAGAAAGCAGCTTCACGTCGAACGAATAGAGTCGTTGACCATCCGTCGTCGACTTCCCCTATCGGATACCCAACTTCGTCATTCACAGATCTTCAGCCCGTATCCTCTTTGCTGCACTTCCCGTTTACAGAAGCACCCAGTGCCATGACGGAGCTCGATTTTGCACCTGAAGCAAATACCACATTTACCCTTTCAGCACTAAAACAATCACTTTCCCATTTCTCCATTCTGGCTCAGCCGCAGACGCACAAGTGTAGCGTCCAGCACTCTCTCCATTGTGCAACGCCATTGATCGTCTGCTA